GCTACACACTCGGCTATTTGCCATCGGCACCGCTCCATTTTTGGTACGGTAACAATGCCGGGCTAACGACAGGGCGATTGGATGCTAAACGGTGACCCGTCAGTCTCTGCGACACGCCGGCGCGTTACAAACCGGATAGGCGGCGTAAAAAGGGAAGGGTTTGGATTTAATATGCGTCATGCGTGATTTCGATGCTTAGTAATCTCACCATTCATGCCCAATAGTTTAAACATTATAAAGCTAACGAGAAACTTCTTATAATTTTGTTCCTGTACCTACCTATCTTTGGGCTATGCTATATGATGTAGGCGTGGTTATTTTGATTGCCAAAACAGGCTGTCAAAATGAACCGTTTTTTTCTAAAATGTGTTTCTTGATGCCTACATTACATAGTCCATGTTACGACTTAGGGTGAATAATAACCGTTTTCACGACGGCCTATCTGGCGAATGCACCTAATTTCACCAAATCTGCACCAAATCTCTTTTACAACAAATATCTTCATATCATGAATTTATTTGTGTTTTATTAGAAAATAATGTCGATAAATGAAAAATTAGGTGTACCTATAGGCATCTATGCAACCCAAACTGATCACCTTTTAAGAAACATCATGAGCCTAATTTGACCAAATCTGCACCAATATCTACTACTATTCTGCACCAAATATGTACAGAATTGCTGTCATGAAAACGGCTAAAGTCATCTAATTTATTGGAAATGTTTCTCCTGACTTCAGCCGGTAGAATTTCTACTCCCTACACGAAAAAATATTTACTCCGCTAGGTGGGGTTCTGACGTCCCAAATACAGTACCTATATTGGAGTAGATCGTCGCCTTGTTTTGGAGTTTTATCTATAAAACTCCATTTTACCGTGTTTGGACTTTGGATACTCCAAACAGCTATGCATGAGGAGTATAGGAGAACTCCCAGGCTCCTTCATTTACTCTGGCTCATCAAGTGGGATACTTAAGTTACTCTGCCTCGCACTTGATGTACTAGAGTAAAGGAAGGAGCCTGGGAGTTCTCCTACTCCTCAGTCCTCATGCAAGCTGTTTGGAGCATCCAAACCCAGTAAGATGGAGTTTTATGAATAAAACTCCAAAATAAGGCGAAAACCTACTCCAAGATAGGTACTGTATTCGGGACGTCAGAACCCCACCTAGCGGAGTAAATATTTTTTTTCCGTGTACTAGCACACCCTGGCTTGGATTAGGTATGTACAGCCCTCTGCAAACTGCGTGGTAGGTATTCTTTTTCCGACAAAACCGAGAATAACGCGAATACTATGCTATCGGTCACTCGAAAATCGTAACAACGAGACGCGCGAGATACCGCACCTTAGATTGACATTATCATCTTATTCATTTTCCATCCAGTTTGGCAACAAAACCCAAAAGTTTATATTTGCCCCCAAAACAAACTTTTGCATTTTGTTGCCACACAAGCCGTATACTTTGTTTAGTGATAGACCCAATCGAAGGAGTGGGGCATGGCGCATCTATTTGAAATGAGTTCCGACCGACTGTTGACATAGCCTTTCAGTAATTATCGGTTTTGTCGAAAAAAGAATACCTACCACGCAGTCTGCTGAGGGCTGTACCTGTGTATATGCGATTGTGACCCCTTGATGTGAAAAGTTTTGAAACTCCAGTTGTACCTACCATTGCTGTCATTCAGGCGTCAGGTGGCCTGCACATTCCGGTTTACACACCCGTCCTTGCGCACGGCGCGCTCATGCCTGATAATTCGTGTTAGCGATGCACAAAACCCTTTGCACGTGTGAGTGTGTCTCGTGCGCATACAACACGCAGTGAAGCTATTTATCACTCATGTCCTGGCGGCTTAGCTGCGGCTTAGCGAACCGAATTTCACGACTGGTGGAGGCTTAAAGGAAATAGTTCACTTTCACGAAATTATTTTTTTGCAACGGATTTATGATTTTTTATGTTCAAAATAATCAGCAAAGAAAATAAAACCTTTTTATAACAAAAGATTATTTTCTATATTTTGATATAGGAAGAACTTTTCAGTTTCTGTAAGGCACACGCGATCCAGTATGAAAAGAGCATGGGTCCCGAAAATTCTTCAGAAACAGAGAAATTATCGCAGCCACCGGCATTTGGGCGATCTGCTCGATCTGATAATGTTCCCCTGAATGTCCTAATTGATCAGTACGATAATTTCTCTAGAGCACGGTGACTATAAATAGATAAGATAGCTCTAGAGTTCTCGTAGATAATTTCTCTAGTTCCTGAAGAATTTTCGGGACCCATGCTCTTTTCATACTGGATGGAAATATATGCAAGGCACACATCCTCAACGCAAGACACCTTTTTCGGGACGAGAAATAGAATATCTTTGCCTAGGGTGATCGTTGGGCTGTAAAAGCTCCTGATTTATGCTCGTCTCAGCCCAAGCTACGGAACTGCTATTCCAGTTCAAAACCCATGTTAACCCGCGCCCCAGTGGCGGTCTCAGCCAACTTCGCCCTAGTGAGGGGGGGCATATGTTACCACCCACCTCTAACTCAAAAACTAAGAGGGCTAGAAAGACGCGGTAAAAAGCAGTCGATAGCTCTCAATGCGTACGTTTGAAAGTATTTCAGTCATTTTTCACCTTAGAGCAATATTTGGGTCACCAGAGGTCATCAAAGGTCAAAATTTGCCAATTGTCATTATATTTTTCAGAAAACATGCCGCTATCTCAGGAACTATGGTAGCTAGAATAACGCAGGGAAATTCAATCGATAGCTTTTGAACTCTTCTTTTGAAAAGGTCATTATCAATATTGACCTCAGGTCAACGGTTTGGCCTCCAGAGGGCAAAAAGTCCAAAAATAGCTGTTTTTACGAAAAGTGTTTTTCGACAATAACTTTCGACTACAAAAAGCCACGACATTTCTATTGCCAGAATCGTGTTCCTCTCGCCGAGACGCGTCGAATGAACTATAATTTGACCTTGAAAGGTCAAGTTGAAAATTTGACCTCAGGTCAAGGTCATGACCTTACCGGAAAAGGTCATGTTGCATATCAGTCGATGCGTCTCAACAAGGCAAACACAATGAGACCATCTCCAGCGTTCTATCTCTTTCCAATCGCGAGTTATTGGCAAAAAACTGCTTGTAGCCTCAAGTGACCTCGGATGACCTGTCTAGAGGCTATCAGCAAAAATGACACCTTGGTCATCACGAGTGGACTAAATCATTGTGATTCTGAAATATTTGGACTGTTCCGATGCGTACACACGGACCTAGAGGCATTTTCATTTTTCTCCATTGACTTGTAATGGAAAGGTTTCGCCACTGACCTGACCTTAGGTCACGGATATAAAAAATCCGAGATATACAAATTGTAGGCGCCCATAACAGCATGCAATCCACCAAGTTTGAAACCTTTCTGACAAACACTGCAGGCTGGACATGATTGCAAACTTTTTTTTAGGCTTGGTCAGTTAACTTGACCTGGTGACCTGACCTGACATGACCTGGGGTCAAAAATTTCACACATTGTCCAAAATTGATGTACCAAAAGCTACCCCAAGCGGCGCGGCGCTACGCGCCGCGGTTTTTTATTCACACGCAAAAAACGTGACAGGGTGGTAACATATGCCCCCCCCCCCCACTGGGGCGAAGGTTAAAAAGTGAACTATTTCCTTTAAGGCGTTGCGCGCATTCTAGGCTCATCAGATGTCACATGTGCACGCAAACTAAGCGTGTCTTTTTTAACGCTGGCTGGCCAGGCTCCGTACGGCCGAAGAGAAGTGGAGGGGGGGGGGGGGGGGCGAAGCGATATTTGCCATTAGGCCTAACTAGCCCGTGCCTTGCTGGTGGTCTGAGTTTTCCGTGTCGTGCTGGGGGGGGGGGCGTTTTCACGCCCCCGTCTAACTCAGCTCCTGGGTCACGTACCTAGCGACACGCGGTATAAGCGACATTCGAAAGAGCGTAAAAAATAATGACGGAAATACTTCGGTCATTTTTAGGTCAGGTCAAAGGCCAGGTGGCCAGAGGTCATCGAAGGTTAAATTTGGCTTATTTCAACAATTTTCGAAACACCTGCTGCATAATTCTTCGGAATGCTTGAGACGAGGTGTTAGTAACACTGATACCTATTAGTTGTCGGACTTTCGTCCCCGTCTTGAGTTGAGATGTTGAGTTGAGAACTCAAGACGGAGACGAAAGTCCCACAACTAATATCAGTGTTACCTGATGCATAACTCGAGAACCAATAGACGGCTACAGCGCCACAGAAAAGCGCATTCGATAGTCTTTCACAGGCCTTTCTGAATTCTGAGTATTGATATCCGATTTGGCCTCAAGTCAAGGGTTTAGCCTCCAGAGTAGGTACAGAGCGCAAAACCCTAAAAATAATCGTTTTTGCGAAAAAGTGCTTTCTCTGTAATAACTTTTGAATCAAGATAGCCACATCATTAGGTACTTTTGCCAGCATCGTGTTCCTCTCGTCGAGACGCGACGAATGAACTATACCTAGGTACCTATAAGCTAAGGTTCTTTTGAAAATTTAAGCTCAGGTCAAGGTCTTGCATGACCTGAGCGGAAAGGGTAGTATGCTCCATATCCAGCAATCCGTATCGTCGGGTTGAACACAGAACGTGTTTTTCACAAAGGTCGACGGGCTCTCCAGGCTCTGTCCTTGACCAGGTGCTTAGCAGCGACATCTGTCTCGGCGACGCTCCTGCCATCTGTTAGTGGCTATAATAAATGTAGTCATTTCATGAAAACGCACTGTGATGGGGATCCCTACGTTGCAGATGCATGGCGGGAAATCATAAGAAAAACAATGAAATATTTTAAAGATGATAGACACAGAAAACATGCGCTTATAACGCTAGTATGCATATTGTTTATTTATCACATTTACAACCCGAAATTGAAAGTGACCTTGAGAGCTGGAACTGCGTATCATCATCATCACCAATTTCACGAACACGAATTTCTTGAACCTTGCATAAGCTGATAAAAGCACAACACAAGATTGTTGTGGAGAAAGGGGGCAGTTCAAATTGGATAAAAAAAGGCGTAATTGTGTGCGGGGTGGCCGAGTATCATCGCCAAAGGGCGCTTGAAAGGTTCTTGGTTGTATGTCAGTTACTATTTTTATCTGCAAAATTCCGTGACGTGCGTGTGAAGCTCGCTATTGGTTTGGGGGTTCAGGTTTGAATCAGAATCACGTCAACGTACACCGTTTATGAGAGGCAGCGACTTGCCACTATTATGTGGCGATTTTTGCTTCTTTGGGCCATTTTTATGTTGATTTGTGATCTTCCCTACAGGAGTACTGCAACTCAACTGAAATCCTGAATAAGTGGACTTCATGAATCAATTTCAAACATTTCTTTGTGTTCAAGTTCAAGTTATGTTTAAATCTTTGCCTGTGCCTGCACAATTTGAATTTATAAGGGAAAATGTTTGGATAAATCTTGCCATTTCTTTAATTTACTCTCTTGCTTTTGGTTTAAGTTTAAAATACAAAGTAAACACATTGATACAACAGTAAGGCATAAATATGCATGCATTCTAGTTTGTTGTAGTGTTTCAGAATTTCAACTGAAGGATTTTGATTTTTTATGTCTTAGTTAGTTCAGCAATACTATTCATTATTTTTGATTCTCTATTTACCTTTCTGGTGAAGGTAAGGTTGGTGTGAGTTCACTATCAGAATTGGTATGGGAAGTTTTGACAGTGATGTCATGAACTAAACTTAACTCTGAGTCTGAAATCATTCAGTGAAACTCAAACTTCCTTGCCCTTTATCAGTCTTGGCTGATTGACTGCATTTCCCTTTCAGTGACTACGTGAGGGCCTGCTGTCGCAGGACTTAAAGGGACCCTCCCACCTTAACATTAGTTTTGAGTTGAGATAGCCAAGTTTGCGGCCAGGCTCAGAAACCACCATTTATCCTGGTCGCAACCCCCGCAGCTTTATGGTGTTCAAGAAATTTCTTCCCTTTACTTGCAGGGTGGGACCAGCGTGGTCCCTATCTCTTAACCATTACGGGAATCTGATGACGTCATCAGGCTTTCGAACGTCCGTTAAATGTTTGACTAAAACGTTTTGTAGCACGTGGTGGTATATGCTGCTTTGCGCGCAACAAATGCCGCACTTTCAAATAAAGTCGCTAGGAACAGCGGAGATCCCAAAAAGTAAACAAAAGTAAAAGTCTAATATCTTGAAAACCGGTGAATATTTTTCGATGAAATTTGGTAGATATTCGTTTTTGCTCTTTCTGAACCGAGCGACATCACTTTCATGCCAATTCATTAACTTTTTTGAAGGTGGGAGGGTCCCTTTAAGACCGACCACAGTTGGCAGCGACGATCATGTCCCAGGAGGAGAAACAGCCACTGCTGGCCGGCGGGGCCGGAGGGGGGCCGCCCTCAGGCCCTGAGGGCAGTGGCACATCAGAGTACTGCAGCCTTGATGACTCGCAGCAGGGAGGTACGGTTGGCTAGTGGCTGGGCAGGAACACAGGGCAGCTTGTTGCTCAAGATGGGATGAAGCAAAAAATGTGACGGATTACATACCAGTAAATTCGCCTTTTGGGCGATGAACGAGCGAGCGAGAAATATAAATTCAATAATGTGACAACCTTTATGACGCCCCTGTCTGAATCTGTTTGATGTTTTTTAATTCATGTCAAGCTTCTAAGCCTTGTCTAGTTTTGTCCCTTCCAAGGATTTCTTGCAACTCACATCTCACTTCTAGCCTTGTGAGAACCAGTGTAACTGCCATGGGACATTTTTAGCCCTATATTTTTTCCCTTAGCTTTCACTGTGACCATCATGCATCAGCTGAACTTTTGTGACCCTTGTTGACCAACCCTGACCCTGTGTGACACCATGCTACCATGTGACCCATTATGATCATGTGTGACCTTCTATGACCCTGTATGACCATCTATTAGGTACTCTTTTTTGTGACCATCTGTGATTCTGTGTGACCCCATGTGACCATGTATAACCCTGCTTGATGCCATGTGACCCTGTATGAGCTTTTGTGACCCCACACGGCCATGTGACCCTGTTTGACCCTCTATGATCCTGTACGGCCCCCTGTTACCCTTTGCGAGCCTTGATGACCGTGTGACCCCATGGGACCATGTAGGACTTTGTTGACCTCACTGTTACCCTGTGTGGCCCTCTGCAACCCTGTATTGACCCTGTTCCGGTGCTGTCCTCAGATGAGGTGCAGACCGGGCCCCGTCCGGTGGACCACGCGCCTGCCGTGCGCGCTGCAGACGGCACACTGACGGTGGCCTGTCGGATCTGTAAGGCCACTCTCGACCTGAGCGGCCGCATGGAGCAACACGTGGTCAAGTGCCACGAGTGCCACGAGGCCACGGTCAGTGCCCGGGAACGATCAGTTACGGGGGCCAAGGGTCGGTACTGGAGGGCGGGGTCGATGCCGTGGGATGGGGCAGTCCCGGGGGAGGCTGCGGTCAGTGCCGGGGGAGCGGTCAGTCTGTGAGGGCGGGATCAGTTTCGGAGGGAACGGTCAGTTGTGAAGGGAACGATCAGTTCTCCGGAGTCTGGCCAGTCCTGGAGAGTGAGTGGGCGCTGGTATAAAGCTGGCGTAAATCAGCTGCCAGAGTTTGGTGGCTCGAGTGTGGAGCTGCCAGGGTGGTGTGCGGTATTGTCGTCGCCACAGGATCATTATCTTGGGAGTTTCTTTCTCTGTGACATCGTTTCACCTTCCGGAGCATATCCAAGCTAGGCACTCGTCTGAGGGAATGTGATATATTTCACGTCTAGGTCTAGACTTATTTTCTAAAAGACTGAGTGATGGCGACAGTCATTCAGGTCCTCTTAACGAGTATATCGACGATTTGTTCTTGTTAGTTTTCTCCGCCCGACTTTGTGTGTTACCATGACTGCTATAATTAATATGTGTGGTTGTATGGAAGCATCAACCTGTGCCCGTACGTATCACTTGTAGATCTGCTAGTATTTGTTTTTTAAGCTATGCCGCTGACTGCTCTGTTAGTATTGGAGTAGCTGTTTATTTTGATCGCTTTGACAACCGTCAGTCTTCCATCACATTATTACACATGAATGTTAAACTCACATCGCCGAGTTCGCAGTCGCACATTAAGCACCGTCCCCTTCCCCACCCCACCCACCCTACGTTCCCACGGCTCACCCCGCTGTGCGTCGTCCCTCCCCGCGGCGCCCCGCCGGCTCTGCCGGCCGCAGCCGTGCCGCTGTGGTGGCCGGCCCTGCCCGGGGTAGTGCACCCAGCAATGACGGGGCGCACTGGCCCGCTGTTTACGTCCTGGGTCACGTGGTCGTGGCGGTTTTGTGGGATTGGTCGGCGGCTTCTGGGCAGCCTGCTGGCCGAGCGGGGGGGGGGGGGGGGAGGGCGGGGGATGCGCGTTTTTGTATGGTGGCTACCTACTTTCTGCGGTGCCAAAAGTGGATCGTGAATGGTGTGATGACTCACGGTTGAAGATTAGTTTGTTCGCTGAGACCGGTTGGGTGGTTGTAAACGGGCGTGTACACCATCTGAGTTACATACCCCTGTTATTGTGAGACTGCGAGGAGAACGTGTCGGGGGCCGGATATGTGCGATTTTACCATGTTATAACAACGGAACTTCCATTGTACTGACGGTCAACACCACAACAGCAATTTTATCGGCATATGGACTACCGGGAATGGAAAATGAGGGGTTAACTGAGTAATGTTTTTAATGTCGGTTTTCGTCGCTGTTTGTGATCATTTGCTTTTTATCAGAGCAGACAATTTTCCCCCGTTGGGATCATGCAAATTAGCCATGGTAGGAGAGCCCATTGTGTATGTGCCCCAAAAGATCGCTTCTACATATACGACACAGTAAGCACAACTAGACTACCAAGCTCTGGTCACGTTATCTGACGGTCCGGCCTGTTCTCGTATTGTGAGTCCCATCTGCCGCCTCTGGCCGTCTGTGCCGGCGGCGTCCCTTGACCGTGTCGTTTTTCTGCTCCCACCGTCCACAGCCGGTAAGGACCGCGCCGCCGGGCAAAAAGTACGTGCGCTGTCCGTGCAACTGCCTGCTGATTTGCCGCGCCTCGAGTCTGCGCATCGCCTGTCCGCGGCCCAACTGCAAGCGCGTCATCAACCTGCCGGCACCCAACACTGCCCAGAGCAGCGCGCCCATGGTTCCGGGCATGTGTCGCATCATCTGTGCCTACTGCCGCGACACCTTCCTGGTGAGGCCTGTATTGTATTGTATTATATTGAACAATCATGAGCGATCCACATTCTCAAAGTGCGTGGCGATTACTGCTCAGCACTGGGGCAGAGAGGAGCCGCCTGGCACTCTATCGTACGGTGTGCTGATGTTGCCGTACGGCTGTCCTTACTGTGCTATGTTAATGTTGAGAGCTCCTCCGGCCCCTCTGGTTCGACCTATCGTGAATGAGGACTGACCCAATTTCCATGGCTCCTGTCTCACTAAAAACTGTTATTTTACATCCACGCCATTGATAACGGCGATATTGTCAAAGCCTAGAAACATATGCTATTGCTAACGCTATGGAACGGATTCTCAAGAACAAATGCTGTGAATGTTTTGTTCCATGTTGCTTTATAGCTTTGCCTAAATTCCAGCCTCACTCCGGCCATACTCACGCGATTCGACAAATGAGCCCATGACGAGAGGAGCCGTATTGCATTGCATTCACATTCCTCATGTATCCGGCAATTAGGTCCTGCTAATACAAAAATGCCAGACGTCGGTGAGGTATTTCCCGGCGTTCGTCGTGTTTCATTCATTGCCACATTCCACATATGCCAGCTTCGGTAGCGGGTGCATTCCGTCATGACAGGACGTCCTAATTAACCGTTCGTGTCGCTATTTTTCTGCGAAACCTCCACCCCGGCTCTGGTTGATGCTTCATTTAACCTGTTTTATTCGACTAACTCAGCATTTACGCCACGTATCTCTCCGGCCAATGGTCACTGCCACTGGTCAGGTATATCCATTTTTAAGTCTCCCCCTATCTGCCTATTTTCCTCATTGACTCAGGCCGGGGGAAGGGGGCTTGAATCGCTAATACGAACGATCAGCGAAAGGTTAACTTCATGCCGTCCCGGTGTTTCTGTCGCTATTTCATCCTTTCGTGGGCAGCTTGCGGTCAGTATCAGTGTTTGCGGTGCAGGCCGGATGACGCCAGTCAGGTCTATGGGATGGGGTATGTCTGACGGTCGCTGGGAACGATTATGTCCTAATCTCGCCGTTTCCATGAAATTTTCCGATGTGACAGCGGACGCTAGGAGTTGCACAATTAGATAAACTTGTGGGATCGTACCCGAGACCGGCACCTATCGGAAACGTTCGGATGCTAAGCACCTTCTCGCAAATACCCTGTTTGTCGACATGCCTGTAAAATGTAAATGCCAATTAACTTTGGCCAATGTGTGCCCCATTGCCTCTATCGATGTATCACACACCCTGGTCGATCGACGAGGCCTCCTGTCGATGGTCACGCTTCTCCCCCGCCAATGATATTCCCCTGCTCATGCTCTCCCCTCTCGCTCTCCCACACCCTCTCTCTCCCTCCCTCTCCCTCCCCTCCCTCTCTCTCTCTCTCTCTCTCTCTCTCTCTCTCTCTCTCCTCTCTCTCTCTCTCTCTCTCTCTCTCTCTCTCTCTCTCTCTCTCTCTCTCTCTCTCCTCTCTCTCCCTCCCTTCCCCCTTTCCCTTCATCACCTCACACCCTGCCCTCTCCTTTTTTTTCAGTTTAACGCGCTGAGCGGGAAACTGGCCCGCTGTCCGCGCTGTCGCAAAGTCTCCTCGGTCGGCACCTACGGTCGGCGGCGCGGCGGAGCTTTCCTCGTGGCCGGGCTCATCCTGCTGGCCATCGCGCTCGGAGTCACCTTCGGCACGTTCGAATTCGCCAAGAGCTCGCCCGGCGTCTACGTGGTCTATGTTGGTGAGAGAATCAGGGACGGAAGGGGATCTATCTGTGTTGTAGAGCAGAAAACAGAGTGAAGTTTTCTGCTCTACAAGAAGTCCAGCCTTTTTAGCATATTGGTCGTGTTCGTGCCATTTTAGTGCTTTGAGGTCTTCAGCTGGTTCAATGGTTATTTTGTTCTGCTGGGAACTCAGATAATTATCTGCTGTTTTTGCTTTGTGCAATTTGCTGTTCATCGACGCATGTGGATGGAAATCTTGAATACGGCTCACTTTAGGCTTTATCCGGTCTTGCCCGACGCGACCTGACCGGACCTGAACTGATCCGGTGTCCTCAGGCGCGTTTCTGGCGGCCGTGGTGCTGGTTCTGCGCGCCATCTACTATTTCACACTGCGTACCAGCGAGATCGACCACCAGGCGTGAGCGCCATCTCTGCGCACCACCTGCAACTACAGCTTCAAATGGCGGCCGCCCCCGAGCGGCGGCGCGCTAGCGCGAGACGTGTATATTCCAATGAGCGGCTGGCTGACTGAGGGCATGTATAGGCGTGTGCTGGCTGTGGCGCCCTCAGAGCCGCTCTGTATGTCGCGGCGCGTGGTGTATAGGTAATGCTCGTGCCGGCGACGTGCACTGTACCGCGGCGGCACCGGCCGGCGGCCCGCGGCCAGGGAGGCTGCTTACACCGGGGCGGCGAAGCCCGGTCTATCATACACAATCGATTATCGGACCGTATTGTACATGTAGGCGCACGTGTGTCGGCCAGCCCGTGTGAGAGTGGGTGGGCGCGGAGTGGACGGACGGCGCCGCTGTAGGCTCGTCTGACGTCGGCGGGTCTCTGGCCGCTCTGCTCTGAGCGTTCTGTGCTCTGCTCCGCGCCCCACTGATCTGAGAGCTGTATATAGAGACGGGCCCTTTCTGCCGACCATAGACGACACTCTGCTGCTTTTGCTGCCTCGGGAGACAGCGCTACGAGGCGCTCCTGTCGGGTACCGCTCCGTCATGAATTCACTGACACCAGACACATATTGTGAGCACGTGCTGCCTATAGCTCGGCCGTCACTTGGCCTCTGCTGCTCCGGAGGGCCCCCGGCGTGGGACTGAAGGGGTGTGACCGGGTCAAGGTCACGCCTAGCGAGTGACGTGACGCTGATCGAGTGACGCGTGTGACGCCGTGACAGTGGCGCTCAGTATAGATCACTGGCCGGTGCGTGACGGGTCACCAATGACATCACTGAAGTATGTTACCCTTACTGATAGGTGCGGTTTAACCTCTCTTGTGTCTATCACTGGTTGTCTTATGTTTTGCTTTTTTCTTTCAGTTTACTGCCACCTCTGCATTTCAATCAAATTTCGATCGTTTGCGTTTTAATGTTTTATGACACGTTCCTCTAAATGTTCGTCTCTACCGTCTTCTTCTTTCCTCGTTTCTTGCCTACCTTCCGCGACATATTTTCCAACTCACCATACCTGCTGGCTTTCTGAGCTCCGTGCCGAGTCGCCGGTGTGACTGTGTGTATGAACTGACACTTAAGTGATCCGCGCGCGGGGCGTTCATTAGCGCTCCGGCGCACACGAACCGCCGGCGCCGGGGTCGGGCTCCCTACCCAGTGTGAACGAACGTGTCTGTGCAGGTGTGCATGTGAGGGCGGGCAAATACATTATCCTAGAGTTGAACGCGTTTCGTTGGGGTGGTTGAGAGGTGGTGTGTGCACTGTGCAGTGCATTGCTGAGAGGTGACAGTTTGGGGTGCGTGAACAGAACGATTTGAGCTGAGTGAGACGTGAAAAGTCTATCGTTGTAGTTGATTGTGAAATGATAAGTATTGCCTAACAGCCTTATTATCGCAAAACACCCTATCAACCACCAACCACCACCACCACCACCCATAAATATCCGTGTTGTGAGCGGTTGTCGGCTCTGCTGATAGATGGCACTATCATCGGCTCGGTGACAGCTGATGGCGCACTGTCTCAAGGTCAAGGCGAGTGACAACAATCAACAGTGCGGTAGTGTACGATGCTTCATAAAAGGGACGGAAGATTTGATAAGCGATAATTGTGCGTGTTCTCTGAAGTTTACTTATTCATTACATCAATATTGTTTTCTTGAAGATGTCGGAGCAAGAATCTGTTACAACTAGGCCGACATTCGAACTCGGTAAGCCTAGCTCGACGTTCGTCTCAATCTCTATTATTTGGTCGGATTCGGAACCATGATGAATGATGTGGTTGTGATAAGTAAGTCCCTTGGCTACTGCACGAAATATCCTAATTTTATTGACTGTTGATCCCCGTCAGTTACTTTTGCTGCTCTTATGAGTTCGTGCTGTTTCTGATAGTCGTCCGATGGCTGCCTAGTGTCTATTTCGGTCCAGAGATGGCGCTAGTAGTTTACGCCTGCATCTATACTGTACCGCATAGCCTCACGCTTCGCAACTGCATGTCTTCGAATACGGGCCACTCGGCGAAGAGTTTGCGAACGAAAGTCAATATTTGTTATATTCGAGGCCACGCTTTGTCAACGGCAGAGTTTACTTGAAAACATAGTTTTTTGCTTTTCGCCGTAAAGGACTGCTTGCAGCCCAGCTGGGGCCTAATTGCTGCAGTGATATAGTAAGGGCCAGCAGAGCGATAGGTATAAGGGTGATCATTTCTTTCCATGCGGCTTGCCGTAGACTCTGCCTAAATTGAAATCGTTTCACCGTTCAGTGATTCAGAAGGCATGCTTCAGTCCCCGGTGGACAGTCCATCCTCGTGTGGCTGGTAGCCCTGGGATTTACCAACCATTGCATTCTTTATTGACTCACGGATTTGCCAGCATCATTTTGGTCGGACCCATTTAATCTCTGAAGCCAATCAAAAGAGTCGATTATAATTTAAGCCATCACGTGCAACGAACAAGCCTATCCACCCTTTCCTCCGGCAGAATATGAAGCCGGTTTCGTCCACTAGGACCCTCTGACGTTAGGTACGCGATGCCCTCTAACTACTCTCGTTCTTTTACATCGTGCCTTCGGCAAACTTTCGTCTCGTGATCTTCATGGCACTATCGCTGCAACTGCACCCTTCCGTGACACCACCGTGAGTAAACTTACCTTGACCGTGATCTGAATGCCGTGGCCGCGATTATCGAATCATTCACCTGCCCAGTACCCACCGACCTACCCACCGCGTGCCCCTGCCCTATCGCACCTTACCGTCATCCGACCAGCAGCGCCCGGGGCGGAGATCGAGCGACGGACCGGGCGGGGTCGGACGGGGCGCGATTGATGACGCTGCCGTCATCCACCGCGAGCCGCCATCCGCCCTAAACCGTCATCCGCCGGCGGTCAGCGTCTCAGCCGTTGAGCAATCAGCGGTCCAATTTTCTCGCGCGGTGTTTCAGTGGGGCCGCTCGCGCCCGGTGAATTATGTGGGTGTGAGGACGCGGCGCGGACCCTAGCGGTGATCGGGCGCCCTCCTGACGAATGGTTATGGTCGCCCAGAGGACATCAACTGTCGGTCAGTCCTCGTGTAAAACAAGACCTCTGGGAACTAACTGATTTATGACTTAGGTTAATCCGGTGTCGGCAAACATCAGTCCGTCGCCCGGCGGCGATATATGGATATTTTAGAGGCATTGTAGACGATTGGGCTTAGATACTGAAGCTGTTATTGCTATGAATGCATGAACGTAACTCGAGACTAAGTGCCATCTGACCCGGCGAATTCCTTTAGTGACCAGTACCTACCCGGTTTCTGTAAATTGATTGCTTCTGGCGTTGTGCCTTTATCTTTTTACTTCTGGATGAATATTTACAGCCGAATGACCAATGATTCTGATGAATAATGAATGATTTCACAGAAACACTTTCATTGCACACTAGGAAGATGCAGAGATTCCAAGTAATACAAAGTAGCATGTTGTGGACTTAGTGTTCACCACAGCAATCATATGTCGTCCTGGGGGCTCACGTCCATCGCTGGTTGTGCATGTCGTGATATTACCACCGACATTATTCCAAACATTTGACGATATCTCAGAAAACATGCACTACCTATGGCATGTACTGGGCTACTGTTTGGTAGTTTTGGTTTACATTTTCAAAGATAGAATCAAATTGAATTCATCTGATGTGGTGTGACATTTTTCCTCGCGTTTTGCTTTTGGTTGTTCACGTTTTTAGGTTGCACATTTTCCTTGATCGGGGATGATTATCACCACCATCATGGTAATCTCTGGAATCGAAGGAGTTAGTGAGCTGCCGGTTTAACAATGCCATGAGGTGACATTCGCTGACTTCCAAAACGTCGGATGTGGTGACAAACTGCCAACGCCCAGGCGATGAACGAATGATTGGTAGAAGTATTCATCCGCCCACGTTACGGTCATGACCGACCTGACCCCACCCGGACTGACCTGGCCGGTCGGAGCGCACCTGGCAGATGTCGCGGCGTGCTGCGGCCGTGCCCGCTCCAGTGAGCCAATCCCAGCACGGCCGCCGGCGTGGGGGCGTGCTCTCACAATGCAGGGCGCGGAGGGGCGGCGGCGCGCCGTCAGTTCCGTACCGCCGCCGCCGCCGACGGGTGTCGGACGCTGACGGTGCGTCATCGGATCCCGCCGGTATCGCACGCGTCATCGGGCGGCAGTGCGGGCTCCATCGGTCGGCAGTGCGAGCGTCAGTGCTGGGCGCCATGGAGTGGCTAAGGTGGCGAGGAGTTGGGATACCGGCGCCGACCTTGCGGTAGCCCTGCCGGTCCGCACTCCGTGGTCCGGGATTCGCCCACTGCGACCACAAGTCAGTCAGAGTACACTGCAGAGTCGCCAGCCCTGTGCAGGCCAGGCCCGCGGCAGTGTGACCCCTACGCCAGGTCGGCCGACGTCGGTCCCCGCTCAGTGCTCTGACCGGGCAGACGCCGTCCATACCCGTCAGATCCCAGCATGGAGTTCCGCTGCCGTGTCCGGTGAGTCCGTGCAGGGTCTGGAACACGTGTGTACCGCTGACGCGTGCTGACCTACACGTGCGCCACGTGTGCACGATCTCAGCGCTGATGAGACATGTGGTGGACCGGTGGGTGGCTCCGCCCGGCTGTCTTGAAGAGCGCCCAGATGGGTTTGTAGACTGTAGCGCCGTTCCCGAAGGAATCCGCCTAGCCAGGTCCCCTGCCGCCGTCTGTTGTGTGAGGATCAGGCCGCTAACTCCCTCAGGGCTTGGTTACCGATCAGTTACCGGTGCTGTCTCAGGACTGCTCAGGTGTCTAGGAAGTCAGGCCTGATGTGCTGCCGATGGCAGGGATGGGATGGGAGGGAAGCGTTGCCAAGGGACATGTCACGAATTAGTGTCATTGCAGGCGTTCCGGTTCCAACGTCATGCTACGATCTCGTTTTGGGGGTTTTGCTCCCGCTGGTTGCTTCGGATGAATTCACCTTAACTCGCGTCAGTTACCGTAACTCGTGCGAAGAAAGACTTAAAAAACTTTAAGAAATCATTAACTTAACGTTATGAGGTATTGTTCTTCCTTTGCTCCCTTTTGATATTTCTTTGCAATATCCCTGTTTAAGTTTCAACTATGAGTATGCCAAAAATTGATGCGACTCAAAACTAGTTGGTAGCTTCAATATGTGCCTGAATAATCAATGATGACTGATTAGTAGGAAGTCATTGGACGCATCCGTTTGACAGTTGATATAAATAAGCTTTTAATTAGCTTTTATAAGCCATTATTCACCATATCTTCTCAGCTTCCTCATCGATGCAAATATTTCACATTAATAAACTCCACCTCATTTTTACGGCCATTTAGTGTCGAGATGAATGACTTGTGTGAACAGTTATTAAGAACATATAGAGTGTTCACTAAAAATTGACACAAACATTGAATAACTGCACACCAAAAGCGAAGCAAGCTATTTCGATGCAACTTACCATAGAGATAAAAGGAACATTTCTCATCATATCGAGCATAAAATCTCACGGATATAATCAAAACAGTCTCGTAGGAGGTCGCTTTAAATAAGGACCACCGGAAGCCCATTGGCAGGCTTTCCCAAAATAGTGCGTCAATGGGAGAGTCTCGGAAGTACAAATACCTAATGAAAACTTATAATGTCGAACTTAGTTACATACTGCAAGGTGGTAAGAAAGTTCTATGTGGGTGTGGGAGTCCGAAAAGCTGAAGTGGTGTTATTGTGAAGATATTGATCTGAGGAAAGGTCGGGGCCCCGAAAACGCACGTGAAGGGGCTTTTTGGCACCTCACGGAGCAATGCTGCTTATCAGTAAGGTATCAGCTGTACCAACACGAGGCTAGGCTAGGCTAGGCTGAGGCTAGGCTAGAGGCTAGACACACCTGAGGCTAGGCTGAGTAACAAACGGCGTAAATGATTTCTCGAAGCGACCGGGAACAGCATTAGGCAATAGACGTAAATATGCAATGGTCAAGAAAGGGCCAAAAAATTCAGAAAAAAGTCGAACTATTTAAGGAAGAAAGGTTATGTTTTTAGTTAAAGGGCGACAATTAACTAGACAATGGAGTGTTCTGTAGTGATGCTATCGATGACACAAGAGCTAACGTCCATTTAAGTGTCAGTATGCAAGCTAACGCTGGATACTATGGTGTATGCGTCTTTTCAAAGCATATCAACAATTCGACTTCATTCATCCAGGCTGGTCCTATATAATATGATATTTTC